AGAGAGAGAGAGAGAGAACGCTTAGGCATGCGGGATTGTCGATGAGACGACTAGCTACGTCATCCGTCGGTCCCCGCTAAGATCAGGGCGAATTATAACGAGCGTCCCCTGCGGGTGTATTTCGGGAAATGGGAACAGAAAGACACGGCCGGACAAAAGTTTGTGCCGAGACTTCACACGCCGTTACGGAATAAAGCGAGGTTATTCGATGCGACACGCGCGGCGTTTGATTACTTCCGCTGCGAGCGTTAGCGGCAAACAAACTGAAGATACATGCGACGAATTGTTCACTAAACCGTTGGAAATATCTGTACCACTTTTGTATTATCAATTTCTGTATTCGAGTACTAATCCTCTTTTTCGACTACTGTACGCGACTATTATACTATATATATAAGATATATATGCCACATATAAACTGCAGTTTATATTTTTCGTTATATCACTTTAGCGAGTTCTGCAGCCTGTAGTAGTAATGTTTATTATTTTTATAAATGTTTTTTTAGATTAGATTTATAGGAATAAAATTGTATTTGTCAATTATTTGATGAATTAAATATTCGAGTACCACAATGTTAATTAATTTCGGGCATCGAATAAATAACATATGAGCGATATTCATTTCTCAACGAAATTTCTGAAATATTAATAATGTTACAAAATTAAAAACATTTTTTAAAAATTAAAATTGTTTACGTTTAATATTTCTAATTTAATTTCATACTCTAGCCTTCTAATTTGTTAAACTTCTTTTTCATTCAGTCAATCGAACGACAATTAAAATTAGTTTGCCCATAATCAAAATTAGTTCGATAAATATTCTCGGCGAGATCGATCGATTTTCTCTGAATAAATATAGCGGAAATATTGACGCACGTGCTGAAAACGAGTGACCTATATACCAAATGAAATAATTATAATGCTGGAGGAAGCGGAGTGAGCCACGCGACGTTTACAGGGTTAACTCGCGATAGGGTTGAGAGACGGTGGAGTCGAGAAGCGTTTCTATGTCGAATTCAATTTTCTGCGGTGTACGTATGTATGCATAACGCGCGCGCGCACGCACACACACACACGCGCGCGCGCGCGCGCGCGCGCGCACACACACACACACACACACACACACACTAGTAATGCGTTACGCATGCGTTACGTGTGCGTTACGCATCGCGGCTCCGCTGTGTGTTTAAGTCGAGGGAGGAGCGGGATAATACGCGGGTCAACAGCCTTCGACAACCTTACGGCCTTCTGCAACCTCTCTTTTCTCCTTTCCTCCTTTACCCACCGTCTCGGTTTTCCGATTCTCGGTCGGTCGAGCATCGATGTTCGATTCACGGTCGTCACCGTTAAATTGAGAGGACTTTCCCGTGGTGAAACGATATATCTTCGGATGTGAAAAAAACGAAATGGGAAAAAACGATCTTTTATTAATGACGTGATTGTTGTCCTTTTTTTGTTCGATTGTTATTTCGTTCTTATTTTATAGTATTTTATGGGAGATAAATGAAGGAGGTTAATGTTATATTTTGTAGCCATTAGATAAAAAATGTATATGGCACTTTTTTAACAATGTAATTTCAAATAATTGATAATTGCTTTCTTAATTAAGGATTTCGTCTTTCTCTTAATTCACTACGTAAGCTTAACTATGATATAGGAGAGTTTTTGATATTGCGCTATAATACTTTCTATCAAGAAAAACGATTTCGATTTAGGCAATCACATTTCGACTACTTCCATTCTCGTATATAACCGCAGATTTTCGTATATTTCGCCTAAAATTGGCTGTGAGCCGCTAGCACTTTTATGGCTAATTTGAGGAATGCCCTTTTCGACGATGGGGAACATCTGTCGATGGCGTTGTAGTATCCAATATTGGTCATAGAAGTTAATGTTGGGGCGTAGAATGGCTCGTATTGTCATTCGAATCGAAACGATATGAAATTGAGGGGTTTATATGATGAATCGCATTTCGGAGTGTATCCCCTTTTCATCTTCGTGTGTGAGATACCGTACTATCGAAAGAAGTCAAGAAAAACTATTGACTCTTGACGAAATGTTGTTACTTTTCTATTCAAACATATTTTATTCTTTTTTTATTTATTAGTTAGGATTTTTTTTTAAGCGAATAATTTTAGTCATCAGCAGTCATCGTTTTCGCTATCCATGTTGTCATCACTCGATCGCTGGCAATTTTTAATTTATGTGCATTTTGACAGAAATAAATTAATCACATTAATTACAACTGGTAACTGTGACTGCGCGTATTACTTTTCTATAAAGACATTTCATATCAAACCTATTCTTATAACTATCTCCCTCACTTTTATTCTACCTTCTTCAGAATGCAAGGATGAAAATAACATAATAACAGAATTAATTAAAATTGAATATTTGTTTGAATAATTAACTTAAAAGGTATTTATTAGCACACTAATAAATATTGTTTAAGTTAATTATTCAAGCAAATATATTTTGAACCCTTTGCCCAATAATTAATTCAATTGTAATTTTGCAACATATATTGCGGTTTTACCACAAAACGTTATTGTAATTTCAACATTACTTTAAATTTACAGCACATTTTTGTTGGATAAAAGTTTCCAATACTTTTGTTGTAATTTTACGATAGAAATGTCTAATAATGTATAATGTTTAATTTTTCTCATCGAGAAATCTTTTTTCGTTATTGCAGTTTCGGGAAGCGAACGGGCGGCAGTGCCAGGCGACCCAACGAATGCTTCGTCCTCGAGCCCTCCGAGATGATTGTCGTAAGTAGATTTTTACTTCGTATTTAGAATAAGAATGAAATAGAAAAAGAATGAAATAGGTTGGAAAGAATGCGGTTGAATTGATTAAAAATTGCAGAAAAATGGTTTTATTTATTCGAAAGAGCGAGTTACGCCTTTTCAGTAACAGATATAACAGATTTCAATTCAAACTGGGCGAATAAACGTATTTTTTTCCTGGTTGAGCTAACACGAAATGCAAAGTACAGTCGTACAGTCTATGTATGTGCAGGCGTTTACGAGATATTCTCCAAGTGCCACGTTATGTGCGTAAGCGGCGATATCGTGCGGCGAAAAGACAATGCGCTCCGGACGCTCGCGAGACACGCTCGCGTGGCGGACAGTTAATCGATAGTTTCTCTCTCGGTATTATTATGCTCACGGGTTGAGAAGAGTTTTGGAATCCCCCGTCACGTTCCCGTAGTAGTTCCTCGCTTTATTTCGTTTCCAGCGTGGTGGTCGATTCTCGGCGTGTCAAAATTAGGGCAAACTTTTAGACGTGCGGGAGGATCGTGCAAACCTGTAGCCAACGAGAGCCTCTTTGAAAATGAAGCCTCGAGCCTCGGAGATATTCGGATCTTCGGATCTTTATTCATTCGAGTCAAGTCTCGCGACGACGGAAAACGTTGCGATTTTACTTTTTCACTGGATCCCGTGTTATTTATTTTATATATATATATATATATATATTTAGTTTATAAATTGCCAGATGTATACGAATAAAATGAGACATAGGTCGAGATTAAATTTATATAATACATTTGAATACAATGAATAATACATTTTACATTTAATTGTTTATTTCAAACTTTGTGTTCTGTGTATTGTTTTGCTTTTCATTGATATATATTTTCTCATTTGAATGAAACACTTTTTATTTTATTTATAGAATTTTTCTAGAAAAAGAAAAATTGATTGATATTTTAATAAGTAATGAAACAACAATGAAAAATGTGAATAATAATTGATGTTAATTATTTTTCCTGGAAAGGAAGTGAAACGTCATTGCGATATTTCGCATACGTGATATTTCCTTTTGAATTGCTTTGTGCGTTTTTTATTAAATCATTCTGAAAAATGTGAAACGGCTACGGGGGCGTGAGCCAAGCTTAATTATGTTTGTAGTTGCAACATTAATTGCAGAGTTGCACGGAATGTTCTGATATTGCAGGTGAACTTTATTCGAGCATACGAAGTTGCTGGCTTGCATCTCTAATTACACTGTGTGGACAGAAATTAAGTTTCTGATTCGAGCTGCCATCTGTAATCGCGTTCTAAACTACTTTACCGACAAATTGCATGACACTACTTGCTGATGGTCGATTAAGCCGTATTATGAGACTGATGATAATAATGGTAATTACATTAAAAAATAATCAAAAGGAGACTTTCCTATGCAATTTGCCTCTATAGAATTATGGCCGAGTTATATTCTTTAATATCATCTTTTATTAATTTTTCTCTCATCTTTTATAAAGTGTTATTAATTTTATTACAGTAAATATTGAAAGAAGAAATTTTCTTGATAAAATATAATATATATAATTTTAGAAACATGACTTGAAAATACACTTACTTTCCAATTGTTTATTCTTAATTCGTAAAAAATTCTTTTTAAAGTCCAGTTTAATATAATTTAATCATTTAAATCCGTAAAATTGTTAAGAAGCAATGTTATATGATATTAATGTTATATGAAATCTATTATCCAATTTGTAACGGAAAGGCGCAGGTGTTATAGTGTTGGATTGTAAAGGTTCAGTTCTGCGTTCAATATCAATCAGATTCAGCTTTCAATTACGTGCCCGGCTTACTCGACATACAATTTGTATCCGAGCTTTGTATTAATCGACGCACTCTATACCCAATTTTGCTTTACCCGGGACAGTTTACCAATGGTTACATCGCTCGTAATAACCACGCGTATTGTTTCCCGCCGCATTGAACTTTGAAATTTCGCAGTGCGAAACGCTCGTTTTGCACGAGTTGTTATTTCAAAACGTTAATTATAAAATTTACTCACTACCGACCAACGTGAATTCTCCGCGCGAATCGTCCGCCGAACCTTTTTCCACCGATAATCAATGTTTTTCTATGCAATTGAGAAATAACGCAGTCTACTACTCTAAAATTTCATAACAAAATGTAATTTACTTTTATGTTTATTATGATTTGTTATTATATTTTTGCAACATACATTTTTGTATTCCGTTTAATGAAAAGGTCACGTAAAAGTGGACTTCAGAGATCCATGTATATATTATACTTGTGAAGATATAAAATATATAGACGACCTTTTCGACATGATTTATGAAATTTTTTTAAGCTTTTGACGCACACGCATACACGCAACACGCGCGAAACATCGACGGAGATTTTTATCGTAAGGACAGCAACGTTTATCGGTTTTGACAAGTTCCGGTCGCGTGTTTGTCGATGAGTGGAATTTTTTTCTTCCACGCAATGTCGGGAAAAAAAATATCGACACAGTACCATAGCAGGTGATACACGCGAGTTCACGTGTGTCCTCGGGCGACTCTGTGACCTGTACGCGAATTGGACGTCTGACCTTTAACCTTCCTCTCGTGCTACCGTGGCACTTTATCCCTGTCGCTTCGCTCACACGCGCACCACCCGAGAGCTCATTGTGCGGCGGAGCTTCATCGCTGACCTCGGTGTTTCGGATCAAGATTAATCATCGTCTACTCCGAATACCGCACTCTCTGATGCCAAAAAAGTATATACATAAATGTACATTTTATATATGTATGATATGTCAAACTCGGATTCTCAATTTCTCTCTCTCTCTCT